CGTTATATGATTAAGAGTTGATTTACCACCAATACCAAAACAAATACCACAATCTTCTTATTATTTTAATATCGAACGAATTGATGAATTTCAATGGATGCAAGATCCTAATAATCAGGTAGTTTTAATTATTAAAAACTTTTATCAATATGGTAATGGTGTTATATATATTATCTAATTTATTGTTATTATAATAGGATGTTCGAGAATATATAGCTGCAGAAAATGAGTTTGTGGTTATTTATTTTATTCAATATCCATTTTTTGATTATTATAATTGATTTAATGATTGATTTATCAAAAATCTCAATAGATTTACTAATAGAATGATGGTTAACACAAAGTTGTTGCAAAGGCAGTTATATGTTGTAAGATTTGTAAAATTAATTTTATCATTTCAAAAAATTGATGATATTGATATTTAAAAATTTTTAATTAATAGGAGATGAAAAATAAATTAATGACTCCAGGAGTAATATCTCCATTAAAAGTTGTATCAAATGGCTATGAATATTACACAATGCCTTCGAATTATGGTAGCATTTATTATCGCCGTAAAAAAGGAAATTTGTCGAATGAAGTAATTCTCCAAAAATATCTTTTTGTAATTCTATAAAAACCATTATTGCAAAGATACATTATTATAATATTAATGATCGTTTGTGGGAATTACGTATAGGAAGTTTTACTGGATTCTAAACAATTTGCAAGAGAAAATAAACAAATTAAATCTGTGCTATTATCAACTGATGAAAATTTACTCGGGTATTTGATTGAAAAAGAAGGCGATGAAGTTGGATCATTACATTTTAAAGATTTATCTAGGCATAATAATTATCAGGTTTGAAAATTTTATCGATAAATTTATAATTGAGGAATTTATATTCATAATTACATTAACATTCAGGAGTTCTTTGGCAGAATGAGATATTAAACGGAGTTTTCAATTTTTTGTGGGGAACAAATATTCATGCTGTTTATTATACTGTTACTGATGAACAACTCAGATCCTACAAGGTAGTTCAAAGTCTTGCTTTGAAATTCATTTCCGTATTTATTTAATATTACAGTATTAGGTCTATGCACACAAAATGGGGACATCACAACGGGATGACATACTCATATATGAAGAAAAGGATCACACTTCTTTTGTTGATATTACTTGTTCCAAAGATCAGGTTTGTTCTATTTCTGATTCAGTAATTCCTCGGTTATTTTTAATTCATCAATAAATATTCTTTTTTATAGTCCTTTATTATGATAAATTCAAACACCTTTTCATCATCTGAAGTTCGATTCTTTGACGCTCATCATGATATGTCTCAGGGTGCACCTGAATTAAAATTAATTGAACCAAGGACGTTTGGATTGGAATATTATGTTGATCATCGTGACGTTAGAAGTGCTACCTATCTTTTCTTTTTTTAAAATAATACACGATACTAATATTTCCGATTTTTCTTTTAAAGGGTTACTTTTATATTTTGACAAATGCTGATCATTCACATAATTTTAAACTTGCTCGTACGAGAATAGAAAATTACGGAAAAAAGTATTGGGAAACTATATTTACTGTTAAAGAGACTGAAAGAATTGAAGATGTTGATTTATTTCAAGTAATTTAGTGCCTTGTTAAGGTTTTTTTTTCTTTAATTAGAATTATTATGCATCATATTTCATAATAAGACTATGTTCATAATAGGACTATGCAGTCATATTTGCAAAAAGCGAAGGCTTACCTGTTCTCATGTGCTATGAATTGAAATCTTCTGATGTTCATCAAATAACGCTGCCTACAAACTTGTGTGCCGTCTCTCCAGAAATAAATAACGTAAATATTGTATGCACAATTATCAATAATATAAAATATGGTTTAATTATATGCAATTCGTTTAGGATTATAATACAAACATTGTTCGGTTTACATGTAACTTGCCTTTGGCTCATGAAACAACTTATGAATATAACATGAAAGCGCGTAATCTATATTCTGTAAGATCTAAATCAATTAACGGTATGAAATGTTATCCTTCATTATTTTTGATAATTCAAAATAATTTAACAGACGTCCGTCTAGGTTTTGACAGTAATTTATATACAAGTTATCGAGTACATGCTAAGGCTTCAGATGGTGCTGAAATACCAATAACTATATTACATAAGAAATCTCTAATAATGAATCACAAGTAAATCTTCTATATAAAATTTCTATTTGATATCTTAATATGTACATACTGTATCAATAAATTAAATTTATTTAAAATAGTAACCCAGTTCTAGTAAGTTCTTATGGTGCATATGGTATAACTACAGACCCAGAATTCCAACTTGAACATTTCCCATTGTTAGAGAGAGGTTGGGTTATTGCCCTTGCACATGTTCGGTGATTATTATGACAATGTTTTATGTTTATTTCTTATAAATTCTTATAAATAAATGTATAATTTACGTACAACTTATATTTCATTTTAAAATAGGGGCGGATCAGAATTAGGTTATTCATGGTATGACCAAGGCCGATTGATGAACAAAAAAAATTCATTTACCGACTTCATTTCGGTTGTGGAATATTTAATCAGCTCAGGGTATTCTAACGTATCAAAAATTTCTGCAATTGGTGTCAGTGCTGGTGGTTTATTAATAAGTTAACAAGTTTTCTATATTTATTCATAAAACTATTTAAAACTTGATTATCTTTAATACATAATAATAATGTTAACACACCTTTATTTATTTTTAATAAAGGTGCGGCTTTTAACATGCGACCAGGTTTAGTTTATTCGTTATTTTAATAACTCTATTTATCTTTTCTTCTCTCCTAATGGCTAACTCAAATTTCTTGATTTGACAGATCTTTTTCGAGTATTAATTTTAAGAGTTCCATTCCTGGATCCATTGACAAGTATGCTAGATCCAAATCTGCCCCTTACAAAGATAGAATACAATGAATGGGGTAATCCTTTGGAAGACGAAAATGCATATAAATACATTTCTAGTTATGCACCTTATGATAATATCTCTTATGATACCACTATTAGTAATAATTTTCAACAATACAATACTGGAACTTCAATATTAGTGACAGCAGGGATGCAAGACCAAAGAGTAAATTATTGGCAAGCATTGAAGTGGGTATCCAGAATGAGAATAAGACAAGCAAAGCATTTTTGGCCATATAAAGAAAGTAATATTTTGATTTTGAAAATTGATACTGATAAGGGTCATTTTGGAAGTAGTTTTAATAATCAATCTGATAGAATTAAAGATTTAGCATTTGAACTTTCATTTTTGATTACTCAGATTCAATAGATTAATATTATAAAAAGTCGTTGAATGGCTTTTCGTTGTTATATTGAAATGAGCATTTAAATAAATACTAAATCTAGAACCCAAAATCAATTGTATAAACTATTTTACTAAAGTAATTATTTTTGAATCCAGGCCAAATATTATTACGTCATATATATAAAATTGGCCCGGTTTAAAAATAATTACCCATACATGCAGGTTTTGATTTTCGAATCGAGACTCTAAATTTAATTTCAGTATCAGCCGCGACATTTATTAGTTCCGTAGTTAAAATTTTTTTTTAAAAATAGATTCAGTATTTAGAACTTATAAATGTAAGGAGTTGCTATGTTAAGATTATGTTAAAGTAACGTAATTACAAGGTTTGTAATTTTCTTTCTGGTAGGTTCTTAGATCTGACGAATTGAAACATAAAAATAAGTGTTTTATTTTATCGTGCGTAATTTTTTTTTTTACCTGAGCATAATTATTTTTAAAGTAACGTGTTAAACGGAGGTTATGAACCAAATTTTTATTTACTATTGTTTTTGTATTTAGGAACATAAAATGAGCACTAACGATAGCGCCGTCCTCAAGACCAATGATAACGATTTAGCTCTAGCTACTGGAAGATATATCAGTCCGCGGATAACAATATACCCACCCTGTCATATTTATATCAAATCCTATAAAATTTTGACGTAAATTTCTCATATTTTTTTAAGAGGTAGTGATTCCCATCAAAAGATAGTCTCATGACCATCCATTTGCCACGTTCAACGTATGCATTTTTGACGAAGAAAAGCTTGAATAAAAAAATCCGGCCTATCTCCACTTGCATTACTGTTCTGTTGCAATTTCAGTCTTTACTGGCAACACTTTGCGTTCACCTCTCGTTACTTCAACATCACATTCGGGAGGTAATAATGGCATCTATTAATCGAGATACAATACCTTGGTGTTTTCAGAATCTCTAAGAACTTTATAAAATTCATTAGACTTCGCTTCTTGTAAAAGGACATCAGTAACGTTCCTGGCTATACATTCTCGGTCATAATTCTCTTCAACCCTAGGATTTGAAAATAATCTGTACCAAAATCAATTACATTATTTGTTAGTGGATCATTACAAGTTCTTAACATCTGCTTCACTTAATTTAGCAATAAGACGTTCATGCACCTGAGTTTTTTTGTTCTATAAAAAAAAAATTTACTGTTAGAAAGAGTAACTTTGTTTCAAATTTTCACTGATATGGTTTGACAACTATAATTATCATTCCATATGTTATAGACAGAAATTGAAATTTTTATTTCATACCTTTTCTCTATCTTGTAGTGACTTAATACATCATGGCCAATACCTTCATCCGCAATAACCTCATGAGATTTTCACGGTCTGAACCTTCTGTTAAATTTTGAAATAACTCCAATGTTCATGGAAATTATAGATATAGTAAGTTGTTTGAAAGGTGCCCTTCTTAAAAGTTACACAAAGATTCGATTAATAAATCAATTTTGCTTGACATTTTTTTTGTTTAAAATTTAAAAAAAATTAATCAATTTATACTATGATTTTCGGTAAATAGTATCCCAGATCTCTTACTTACTGGACTGTTTGGACACTGGACATTGGACAGATTTCAGATTGTCCAATTGTCCAGTTGCCCAACCTTGATTGACATCCATTCGAAAACCTCTTAATAAATTCTTTTCAAGACTGAAGGATTTCTTTTAACAACTTCTGTCTCTAAATTTATAACTTGATTTTCGAGCACTAATAATTGATATATAACAGAATTTTTCTTACTACAATAAGGTATTTAAAATTTAAACTTAAACGATGCTTTTTGATCAATAGTCAAAATTTTACTACATTTGATATATTATAAGTCAATAACATAACGATTATTTCATTAAAGATTTAGGACTTGATAAAATAATGCATCGAGAAATAATTGCCGTCATTACCAGCATGTAACACATAGTGTATAAAATTTTTTTGTTTTTTTTTTTAGAATTTTTAGAATGAAACTACTAGTAAAAATCTTTGGTTTTTTTTTGATTTAAAGTTTCCAGTATCACGTGCGCAAATTATAAAAACAGAAAAAAGTATTGGCTAATTACAGAATTACTAAAACTATACGTAATATGTGATGATTAAGAATCACATGACTTTTGTCGGCATGTGTAATTGGATAAAGAACTCGGAAATCAAATTCCTGTGTCACATAATAATGTGTTAAACAGATATCAAATATGTATTCAGTACGCTCTTTGTATTCGAATAAGGTTACTAGTAGTTAATTCGTAAAAAAAATTATGGCAAATACGCCAGAAGAATGGCTTGAAAAAGCTATTTCCGAGGGACATATCAATAATCTTGAATATAATAAATTCACAAATCCTACAGTGATTGGCATTGGAGGTTTTGGAAAAGTTTTTAAATACGAGTGGAAAGATTGTTATTTAACGGTTGCTCTTAAATGCCTTAAATTCGATACGGATATAAATCTAAATGAAAAAATTATCAAAGATTTTGTTAATGAGGTATTTATCATACTAAAGCTCGAATTTTTTCCTGGCATAATATTAATTTTTTTTTATCAATAACCTGAAATAAAAGCTTAAACTATTACGAAGAGTTGATTACCATCCAAACATTATTAAACTCTATGGAATCACGAAAGGTATACGCACGGTTCATTATTCATAAACATAAAATAATAAACATTTAATTTAATTTATAATATTAATTATATACAAATAAATAGACAATAATGGAGATTATAATATGGTTTTACAATATGCTAATAATGGAAACTTACGAGAATACCTAAAGGAAAATTTTGCAAGATTACAATGGGCAGACAAATTACAAATTGCTGAAGAAATATTGTATGGTCTTTTGTTCTTACACAATAACAATATTATTCATAGAGATCTTGTAAATATATTATTTTTATATGTTTATGAATTTTAGTCACATCAA